TGTTGCTAGCTTCCTGAAAGAACTTCTGTTAAGCAGCCCTAGACTCTAAGGTTCTTTCCAACAAGAGCTATTTTATCTCTAAAACCTTCAGGTTCTTTCTAACAGTCCACGTGTCACATTTGTCAAATAAATCCGTCACAAAATGACTATTTGAAAATGGACAGTGGAAAATGGGAAATTTGAAAAACATACCCCAGATGCTACAAACTATAGCTAATTCAACTTCTCACCTAGCACGTTTTAGCAGCACTCCATCCTGTGATAACTGCTTTGAAAGAAAAAATACAGGAAATAAATGTAACTTAAAGGCCTCCAAAAACGGCCCTCAGAAATCCTCCTAGGCTCCCCTAGACACGTGATAAAAAAGGCTAAACGAAGGCATCCCTTTCCAGAGTTTTCGAGAGTCAAGTGCTGGGAATACTTCTGGGATGCCATTCTTTTGATTTCCGAGGACCAGGAATCATGGTATTTTGTTCCTCCCCACCTAAGGAGAGAAGGTTTGACAACAACACAGCTAGTCACTTAGTGAAAGCTCGGTAACATAAAGCGCTTTAACTACATTCACTTCTAATCCCCACAAACTCTAGGGATGCACATCAGAAATTTGTGGGAAAGCATATTCATAAGAGACATAACGAATAACAGAAGTATCCAGGAGCTGGTGACAGGGGGAAATCGGAAGTTACTGTTTAATGGCTGCAGTCTGGGATGATGAAAAAGTTCTGGACATGGACAGGGGTGATGGTCGCACAACACTGAACGCACTTAATGCCGCTGAATCGTACCCTTAAAAATGGTTTTAAAACTGTAAATTTTATGTTCCACATACGTTACCACAATTAAAAAAAAAAATTGGTGGGAAATCACGTGTGCCCAGCCTTCCCCTCTCCTCCCCCCACGGGTGCCGGTGGGAGCCAAAACGTCCCTCCGCATCTTCCTTCCAGGTGACTGTCATCAGAACGAGTGCGGACACAAGACGATGCTCTAAAGCTTTGAGGACACTTGAACAGCCAAGAAGCAGAGACGGAGCCCCAAGCAAGGCTCGAAAAGGTGACGGAGCCTGGAAGTGGGCGAGCCCGCCTGAGGATGGAAAATCTCCCCCGGGAACACGGAAAATGCTGTTTCTCTGCTTTTTTTCTCCTCCTCTTTGTTTGGGGGAGCGCAGGTCCGATCCCTGCACAGACACCTCCCGCGCACCTGGGGAGCGGCCGGGGGCCTCGCGCGCGGCCCCGGCGTGGAGCGGTTCCGGCCGGGCGAGGGAGGGGAGGGGACGCGGGGGCGCTCCGGCCGGCCTCGCGGTCCTGCCCGGCTCCCACCCGCCTCCGCCGCCGTTTACCGGGCCGACCACGCGCGAGGCCCCGCGCGCGCCCTCGCTTCGCTTCCCTTCCCTTCCCCCCAGTTTACGGGGCGGGAAACTGAGGCCCCGGGCGATACGGGGGGCGGGGGGTGAAACCACGCGCCCAAGGTCACCCGACAGGCCAGCTGGCCGGGGCGTCGGGCCTCTCCGGCTCCGGGGCCCGCGCCATCAGTCCCGAGCGCAGAGGCCGGGCCCGAGGCCTCGGCGTGGGGGTCGGACCCGGCCTGGAGGGACCCGCGGAGCTGGGCCAGGGCCGAGGAGGAGGGAGGGAGCGAGC